CACATCAATGACGTCATTGCTCGGGCTATAGAAGCTAGGGTAACAGCTGCACTTCGGAATCAGCCTCAGGTACAGCCGGCACTGTTACCAGCACCGGTTGTTCAGACTGATACTTGGGAGAAGGCCAGGAGTTCTTTCACAAAAGGAACTCTACCTGAGTTCATGGGTTCCACCGATGCGAGAGCAGCTCACCAGTGGAAACAGGACATCGAGCGACATCTTCGCTTGGTTCAGTGCACGGAGGTTCAGAAGCAGATGCTTACTACCTTCAAGCTAGTTGGGGATGCACTGTAGTGATGGGAGTCAGTTACCACTACAGAGGAGAGGATGGCATTGACTTATGATGAGTTCAGTGCACGCTTTGAAGAAAATTATTTCCTTTATGCAGTTAGGGCAGCCATGAAGACTGAGTTTCTTAATCTGCAGCAGGGGAACATGACAGTGGCGGAGTATGAACAGCAGTTCACACGCTTATCTCTCTTTGCACCGGAGGAGGTGGATATAGAGGAGAAGAAGCGCAACAGTTTCGTCAAGGGACTGATGTGGTTTATCAAGAGAGCTATTACTGGTAGTCTAGCCTACACTACTTATGCTCAAGTGATGGACGCAGCTTTGCAGCTTTATCAGCTGAATGAAGATTTCAGACAGACTAGGGCTGAGAAGCGGGGTGGCAAAGACTTTGCTAATCAGCCAGTTGAGAAAGTGAATGATAATGGGAACCGATAGAATGACAAGGGCAGATTCCAGGGCCAGCAGCCTTGGAAGAAGTACAAGGGTAATTTAGAAATTCAGAGAGAGGGAGTTCCCACTCAGCAGACTCGAGCACCTCAGACTAGACAGGGACAGCTACAGTGTAATCACCAGGAGGGGCAGTCAAATATATTTAAGGGTCATTGCTATAAGTGTGGAGATTATGGGCATTCAGCCAAACGGTGTCCTAGGTTGGCTCAGAAACAACATGGGCAACAGGGACAGTGGCAACCATTACCTACTCCACAGATTCCACGTGTGTAGGCTCAGACATTTCCGGCCTTACCAGCACCACCGCCACCGCAGGGACAGCCTATACAGCAGTTGCATCAGGGCATGGTGTACAATGCTACACCTTGCAATGCATGGGTACCTCAGAAGAATTGAGGGTATGTTTTCTATTTCAAGGTAGATGTAGAAATGACTTAGTAGGTATAAGTGCATCATGTTCATTAGTATCTGGATGGTTTTGGCTTATGATGGTGATATATATTTATACATATATATACAAATCATTGACTGTTGGTATATTACACCACTAGGTGTTTAAGTAATTTACACAATTGTGAGCATTTTATTATAGATCTTTACATATTAGATATCTTACATGGTAAACAGTGGAATAAGGGAAAATGAAAATTTGGGACAAATAATCAAAATTTCATTTCATGGATTCGTGAATTCCGAGGACGAAATTCCTTTTGTTAGGGGGGAAGAATGTAATACCTCGATATTTTAAAAAGGATTTATTAATTAAATTAATTTATATTATATTATTATTATTATTATTTTTAAATGATTTATTTTATTTAATTAGGTGCTTGATAGTTGTGATTTGTTTTATTTAATTAAGTACGTAGGTAAATTGTATTGTTTTAATTAAATTATATTTTGTAATTTTATTTGTTAAATTTATATGGTGTTTGATTTGTGGAATGCTAGTTAGTAAATTGTTTATTTGATTTGCGTGATTTTATGTTGGTGTAACTTTATTGTTAATTATTGGTAACTATTAAATTTAATTTCATTATTTTAGGTATTTAAATTATTTGGATTGGGATTAGAGGAAGTTGGACCAACGGATGTGGTATTGGGCTTGGAGGAAACCTTGTTGGGTTAATTAGTAAAGGCCCATGGGTGTGAGGATATTTAATAATTATCTTTGTATAATTATACCTATATAATTACATGTGTATAAATTGAATTCATTATTAAATCATGTGGAGGGGTATATATGTCAATATAAATATATATTGATATATATAGGTATATATAATTTATTTAACTAATGGTTATATATGGAAGGTAATATATATATTTATATTAAAATATATGTATGTATATGTATTATTTAAAAGATAAATATTATTTATTTTATATGTTAATCATAATGGGAAAAGGATTTGGTTTTGATATGTATAAATAGACACATTAGACTTTAGGGTTATGAGTTTTTGTCACGTTAGAAAAATAAGGGAGTCAGAGAGGGAAAAAAAAAAGGGTTAACAAAGAGGAAGCTGGATCAGAGAAAGAGGAGGCCGGATTTAGAAGAGACAAGCGAGTTCTTCTCTACTTCTCCTCTTAAAATTCATAAACCTATCACCTTGAGTGTCAAAAATTATATTTTTATTTTGTTAATTAAAAATAAATTATTAATCGGATTAGAAGAGCATGTTTATTCTTTACAAAATTTTAGATTTAAACATGTGAATATATGTATGTAATGTTCTGATAATTTAAAATCTTGTATGTGAGGTTAGTTTAATTAAACTTTATTTTGAGAAATTTTTATAGATTGCTTTAGCCTTGTGTGGCATGATGAATTGAATTAAATAGATCTTAATTTAATTATATATGTTCAGTTAGGCTCAAAATAATTAAATCAAGCTTTGGGGATTTTTCTAGAATTTTCTGGGATTTTATGGAAATTTTCTGGAATTATTTTATGATTTTAGAAGTTATTTTATATATTCTGTATATATATATATATATATATATATATATTTATATATGTATTGTTTATATATATATATATGTACTGGGGGTGTGTGTAATCGGCGCATCATTTAAGGGGTGGTGATTCGGTACGACGATGTACATATAGCTATGGTGCGCCTCAAATCAGGACAATTAGATGGTCCTAATGAAATAGGAATGTTCCAGCGTGTGTGTATACATAGGAGAATGGTGCACTCACTTATCTGGGTTGTTGGTAGTGATGGTGATGGTGGATGATGATCTGGTGTGGCGCGATCTATGGGGAGTTGGTGTGCCTTCAAGATCTGGCCATTGGATGTACATTAAATGTTGGGAGATGACACGGTGTGGGCGAGCTCACCAAGAAACGGAGGGACAGCCAATGGGAAGCTGCCAACACGCGCCGAGAATGGCTCAGGAGCGTGAGGGCGCGTGGACGCGCCTGCCGGTAAAGGGAAGCGCGTGGAGGTGCGTGTGAGTAGTCTAGGAGTATGTGGCGGCGCGTGGAGGCGCGTGGGGATGCGTGTGATGTCCTGGAAAGTTGCTTGGGAGTCCGGTGAATTTTCAGTATTTATTTTAAGCTTGTTAGGGTTAAAATTAATCATTTAAGGGTGTGTTCTTGGTATTCTGAGAGCCTCAGAGTGTTACTAAGATACTTAGTAGCAAGTAATTTGTATAAATACAATTAATTAAATATTTTTGCCATTAAAGGAGGTGTACACATGTATATATATGTAGATATGATTTTAAATAGTCAACGATTAATATGGAATGTATTATACACATATATATACTATAAAATATATGTGTATATATATATCATTTAGGATTATTAAAAATTATAAATCTTATTTGGTATGACTTGATTTGTGGATGGTATGGTTGATTTAAAATCGTAATAGATACTCGGTTAGTAAATTAGGGACATGCTTATAATATGTATGTGAAGTCTATGTATAATTAAACTTAGAGTTAAGTTCAAAGTTAGTACATGGTTGATTTGTAGGCGTGGATGAGTTGCCAAAGGCTTTGATATACTGCCTTACTGGTTATGAATAAATTTTATATATGGGAAGCATGGTTGAATTGCTAGTCAATTGTATAAGTAAATATACTTAAGGAAGCATGGTTGAATTGCTAGTATATAAATAAATATATTTATAAATGGTATGGTTGATTTGCCGGTGCACATTTAAACTGCTATATGTTTAGATGATTAAAATGCCATCTAAGGTTATGGTACGTATAGGTTGGATTATGACTAGAATAATCTAGTATATACAGGTTAGTGTATTATTTTATATATGTCAATAAAATAATAGTGGTGGAGACATAGATGATTTGTCAAAGCTTAAATTTTGGATATGTAATTTAAATGATCAAAAGTATTATTGGGTTTTGGATTTATTGGATTTTTCCTTAAATTGTAAGTTATTGTTTAAATGACTAAATTACTGTTTAGGATAGAGTTAAGGTGAGTGGGGTTTACTTTATGAGAAAAATATAAAAGGGGGGGCTTGGTCTAGGTATGACTGATAATTAATTATTGGTGAGTGGTTTTGACAATTTAATGCCCTATTAACAGATAGGATTCTTGTACTATATATATAAGTATTTATATATATTTGTAGCATTGTATATTAAAGTTAAAGCTTAATTAGGGATGGTTTTGGTAAAGATGATCTGTTTATTGGTTTTCAGAGGCTTGGTAGAGAGAACTTGTTCGTGGGGTTTAACCCGCGATTTATTTTTCAGGTTGTTAGAAGGTCAAGTCTCAAGATTGAGGATCCGCAGCTGGAGGACTTATCCATTCATTCTATTTATTTAAAAGTAGGATATTAGTTTTGTTTCAGTTGATATTAGTATTTATTTGGTTGAAATTCTAAATAGTAACTTTTGGTTAAAGGGTCCTTGAGTTACGGGATTCCTGAGTTGTAACAATTTGGAAGTTATTAATGGATTTACTATTAATTGGATTTCTTCAGCGTTTTATTTTATTCTTTATTTCATTTTGTAATCCGTGCTTGTTTAAATACTTTAATTGTTTTGATATTCTCTAATTTTGTGCGCGGATTTGATCAACCCGTGTTCCGAAATTAGGGGGTATCACAGTTGGTATCAGAGCACTCCAGGTTCAAGTGTCCCTTGGGTGTCTTGTGTTATGTGAATTCCGCGTTGTGTACTCTTTTATTTAGAGCTTAAGTTTTGGATTCATTGTATTCCTTTACGGTCCGTTACAATCGTACTGATGTCTGTCTTTCTATGTTAACAGCATGGTTAACACTGGAAGAGGACAGAATCTGAATAGTCGACAGAGGAGAGCTGCACGTAGGCAGCAAGAACACCTGCAACGTCAGCAAATTGAGGAAGAGCAGCAACGACTTGGGTTTCAGGATGAGGGTCAGCTTCAGGAGGAGCAAGAGGAAGTTCAGCAGGCTTCGGCTCTGGGCAGGGATCCAGAGTATCCTCCTCACATCAATGACCTCATTGCTCTGGCTATAGAAGCTGGGGTAACAGCTGCACTTTGGAATCAGCCTTAGGTACAGCCGGCACTGTTACCGGCACCGGTTGTTCAGACTGATACTTGGGGGAAGGCCAGGAGTTCTTTCACAAAAGGGAGTCTACCTGAGTTCATGGGTTCCACCGATGCGAGAGCAGCTCACCAGTGGAAACAGGACATTGAGCGACATCTTCGCTTGGTTCAGTGCACGGAGGTTCAGAAGCAGATGCTTGCTACCTTCAAGCTAGTTGGGGATGCACTGTAGTGGTGGGAGTCAGTTACCACCATAGAGGAGAGGATGGCATTGACTTATGATGAGTTTAGTGCACGCTTTGAAGAAAAGTATTTCCCTTATGCAGTTAGGGCAGCCATGAAGACTGAGTTTCTTAATCTGCAGTAGGGGAACATGACAGTGGCGGAGTATGAACAGCAGTTCACACGCTTATCTCTCTTTGCACCGGAGGAAGTGGATATAGAGGAGAAGAAGGGCAACAGTTTCGTCAAGGGACTGATGTGGTTTATCAAGAGAGCTATTACTGGTAGTCCAGCCTACACTACTTATGCTCAAGTGGTGGACGCAGCTTTGCAGCTTTATCAGCTGAATGAAGATTTCAGACAGACTAGGGCTGAGAAGTGGGGTGGCAAAAACTTTGCTAATCAGCCAGTCGAGAAAGTGAATGATAATGGGAACCGACAGAATGACAAGGGCAGATTCCAGGGCCAGCAGCCTTGGAAGAAGCACAAGGGTAATTTAGAAATTCAGAGAGAGGGAGTTCCCACTCAGCAGACTGGAGCACCTCAGACTGGACAGGGACAGCTACAGGGTAATCACCAGGAGGGGCAGTCAAATATATTTAGGGGTCATTGCTATAAGTGTGGAGATTATGGGCATTCAGCCAAACGGTGTCCTAGGTTGGCTCAGAAACAGCATGGGCAACAGGGACAGTGGCAACCATTACCTACTCCACAGATTCCACGTGTGTAGGCTCAGACATTTCTGGCCTTACCAGCACCACCGCCACCGCAGGGACAGCCTATACAACAGTTGCATCAGGGCATGGCGTACAATGCCACACCTTGCAATGCATGGGTACCTCAGAAGAATTGAGGGTATGTTTTCTATTTCAAGGTAGATGTAGAAATGACTTAGTAGATATAAGTGCATCATGTTCATTAGTATTTGGATGGTTTTGGCTTATGATGGTGATATATATTTATACATATATATACAAATCATTGACTGTTGGTATATTACACCACTAGGTGTTTAAGTAATTTACACAATTGTGAGCATTTTATTATAGATATTTACATATTAGATATCTTACATGGTAAACAATGGAATAAGGGAAAATGAAAATTTGGGACAAATAATCAAAATTTCATTTCATGGATTCGTGAATTCCGAGGATGAAATTCCTTTTGTTAGGGGGGAAGAATGTAATACCCCGATATTTTAAAAAGGATTTATTAATTAAATTAATTTATATTATATTATTATTATTATTATTTTAAATGATTTGTTTTATTTAATTAGGTGCTTGATAGTTGTGATTTGTTTTATTTAATTAAGTGCGTAGGTAAATTGTATTGTTTTAATTAAATTATATTTTGTAATTATATTTGTTAAATTTATATGGTGTTTGATTTGTGGAATGCTAGTTAGTAAATTGTTTATTTGATTTGCGTGATTTTATGTTGGTGTAACTTTATTGTTAATTATTGGTAGTTATTAAATTTAATTTCATTATTTTAGGTATTTAAATTATTTGGATTGGGATTAGAGGAAGTTGGACCAACGGATGTGGTATTGGGCTTGGAGGAAACCTTGTTGGGTTAATTAGTAAAGGCCCATGGGTGTGAGGATATTTAATAATTATCTTTGTATAATTATACGTATATAATTGCATGTGTATAAATTGAATTCATTATTAAATCATGTGGAGGGGTATATATGTCAATATAAATATATATTGATATATATAGGTATATATAATTTATTTAACTAATGGTTATATATGGAAGGTAATATATATATTTATATTAAAATATATGTATGTATATATATTATTTAAAAGATAAATATTATTTATTTTATATGTTAATCATAATGGGAAAATGATTTGGTTTTGATGTGTATAAATAGACACATTAGACTTTAGGGTTAGGAGTTTTTCTCACGTTAGAAAAATAAAGGAGTCAGAGAGAGAAGGAAAAAAAAAAGGGTTAACAAAGAGGAAGCTGGATCAGAGAAAGTGGAGGCCGGATTTAGAAGAGACAGGCGAGTTCTTCTCTACTTCTCCTCTTAAAATTCATAAACCTATCACCTTGAGTATCAAAATTATATTTTTATTTTATTAATTAAAAATAAATTATTAATCGGATTAGAGGAGCATGCTTATTCTTTACAAAATTTTAGATTTAAACATGTGAATATATGTATGTAATGTTCTGATAATTTAAAATCTTGTATGTGAGGTTAGTTTAATTAAACTTTATTTTGAGAAATTTTTATAGATTGCTTTAACCTTGTGTAGCATGATGAATTGAATTAAATAAATCTTAATTTAATTATATATGTTCAGTTAGGCTCAAAATAATAAAATCAAGCTTGGGGGATTTTTCTAGAATTTTCTGGGATTTTATGGAAATTTTCTGGAATTATTTTATGATTTTAGAAGTTATTTTTTATATATTCTGTATATATATATATATATATATTTATATATGTATTGTATATATATATATATATGTACTGGGGGTGTGTGTAATCGGCGCATCATTTAAGGGGTGGTGATTCGGTGCGGCGATGTACATATAGCTATGGTGCGCCTCAAATCAGGATAATTAGATGGTCCTGATGAAATAGGAATGTTCCAGTGTGTGTGTATACATAGGAGAATGGTGCACTCACTTATCTGGGTTGTTGGTAGTGATGGTGATGGTGGATGATGATCTGGTGTGGCGCGATGTATGGGGAGTTGGTATGCCTTCAAGATCTGGCCATTGGATGTACATTAAATGTTGGGAGATGACACGGTGTGGGCGAGCTCACCAAGAAACGGAAGGACAACCAATGGGAAGCTGCCAACACGCGCCGAGAGTGGCTCAGGCGCGTGAGGGCGCGTGGACGCGCCTGCCGGTAAAGGGAAGCGCGTGGAGGTGCGTGTGAGTAGTCTAGGAGTATGTGGCGGCGAGTGGAGGCGCGTGGGGATGCGTGTGATGTCCTGGAAAGTTGCTTGGGAGTCCGGTGAATTTTCAGTATTTATCTTAAGCTTGTTAGGGTTAAAATTAATCATTTAAGGGTGTGTTCTTGGTATTCTGAGAGCCTCAGAGTGTTACTAAGATACTTAGTAGCAAGTAATTTGTATAAATACAATTAATTAAATATTTTTGCCATGAAAGGAGGTGTACACATGTATATATATGTAGATATGATTTTAAATAGTCAACGATTAATATGGAATGTATTATACACATATATATACTATAAAATATATGTGTATATATATATCATTTAGGATTATTAAAAATTATAAATCTTATTTGGTATGACTTGATTTGTGGATGGTATGGTTGATTTAAAATCGTAATAGATACTCGGTTAGTAAATTAGGGACATGCTTATAATATGTATGTGAAGTCTATGTATAATTAAACTTAGAGTTAAGTTTAAAGTTAGTAAATGGTTGATTTGTAGGCATGGATGAGTTGCCAAAGGCTTTGATATACTGCCTTATTGGTTATGACTAAATTTTATATATGGGAAGCATGGTTGAATTGCTAGTCAATTGTATAAGTAAATATACTTAAGGAAGCATGATTGAATTGCTAGTATATAAATAAATATATTTATAAATGGTATGGTTGATTTGCCGGTGCACATTTAAATTGCTATATGTTTAGATGATTAAAGTGCCATCTAAGGTTATGGTATGTATAGGTTGGATTATGACTAGAATAATCTAGTATATACAGGTTAGTGTATTATTTTGTATATGTCAATAAAATAATAGTGGTGGAGACATGGATAATTTGTCAAAGCTTAAATTTTGGATATGTAATTTAAATGATCAAAAGTATTATTGGGTTTTGGATTTATTGGATTTTTCCTCAAATTGTAAGTTATTGTTTAAATGACTAAATTACTGTTTAGGATGGAGTTAAGGTGAGTGGGGTTTACTTTATGAGAAAATTATAAAAGGGGGGGGCTTGGTCTAGGTATGACTGATAATTAATTATTGGTGAGTGGTTTTGACAATTTAATGCCCTATTAACAGATAGGATTCTTGTACTATATATATAAGTATTTATATATATTTGTAGCATCGTATATTAAAGTTAAAGCTTAATTAGGGATGGTTTTGGTAAAGATGATCTGTTTATTGGTTTTCAGAGGCTTGGTAGAGAGAACTTGCTCGTAGGGTTTAACCCGCGATTTATTCTTCAGGTTGTTAGACGGTCAAATCTCAAGGTTGAGGATCCGCAGCTGGAGGACTTATCCATTCCTTCTATTTATTTAAAAGTGGGATATTAGTTTTGTTTCAGTTGATATTAGTATTTATTTGGTTGAAATTCTAAATAGTAACTTTTGGTTAAGGGGTCCTTGAGTTACGGGATTCCCGAGTTGTAACCATTTGGAAGTTATTAATGGATTTACTATTAATTGGATTTCTTCAGCGTTTTATTTTATTCTTTATTTCATTTTGTAATCCGTGCTTGTTTAAATACTTTAATTGTTTTGATATTCCCTAATTTTATGCGCGGACTTGATCAACCCGTGTTCTGAAATTAGGGGGTATCACACTCGTGGAGCAAAAATCTTCAGCTAGTTTGATTGTAAATTTGGGTTTTGGCAATTAGAATTGACAAAAAAAGTCAAAGCCATTAATTGCTTTCTAGTACACCAAGAGGTCATTATCAGTGGACTATAATGCCATTCAGTCTCAATACTGCACCTCAAATATATCAAAGGTGGATGGATATTATCTTTAAAAACCTTAAAGATTCTGTTATTGTCTACATCGATGATATACTGGTTTTCTCTAAAACAAGAGAAGATCATAAAAAGCATTTAAAACTTGTTTTTGCAATTTCAAAACATGGAATTATTTTGTCACCTTAAAAAATAATAGTCGAACAAGAGACTATTGATTTTTTAGGATTAGTTTTAACTCAAAGAGGACTAAAACTACAAGATCACATTGTTGTAAAACTTCATAATTTTCCTGACATTATTCAAGATAAAAAGCAACTTCAAAGTTTTCTTAGAATCTTGAATTATGGTTGCTCCTTTATTAAAGATTTGTCTCAAAAAGAAATTCCTTTGATAAAGAAATTTCAAAAGGATAAAACTTTTAACTGGACTGATGACACCAAAAGAATAGTTCAACATATCAAAAAAGATCTGGTTAACATTCCAGAAGTTTATTTTCCTCAAACAGGGGATAAACTTATTCTTGAAACAGATGTCTCAGACTTATGTTAGGGATACATCTTGAAGGTTATTCCCAATGAAAAATGGGAAGAACCTGATTTCACTGATCATAACATACAAGCTAGAAAAACTCATATCTCAAAAAAGCTTCAAAAAGAAGAATTGATTTGTGGTTATAATTCTGGTAAATTTAAATCAAATGAACAGAATGATATCATTTATGAAAAAGAACTTCTGGCCATTAAATTAGCTATTAAAAGATTTTACATTTATCTAGTCCCAGAAGATTTTATTGTCAGAACCAATAACCAAGGGGTAAAAGATTTCCTTATAAACAAAAAGAATTGTTTGGAAGGAAGATATCTTAAATGGTACAATGTTATTACTCAATATTCTTTTACTATAGAATATATTAAAGGCACTAACAATTTTCTTGCAGATTACTTAAGCAGGAATCATACAAAAATATTTAACAATATTTCTTATTCTACAGATGAATGATAAAGGCAAAAAGCCTTCTTAAGATGGTTGGATTACTATAGCTAAAAAGGCTAAACAACCAGTTGCATCTTCACAACCACAAGGCATAAACAAATGGTTTGTAGTTTTTGCAGGATTTCAACCAGGAATCTATGCAACATGGGACGATTGTCATGCCCAGATAAGAAATTATTATGGATCATGTTTTAAGGCATATGACACTCTTATAGAAGCACAAAAAATGTTATACAATGCGGGTCAAGCCTTGTTTAACTCATAAAAGGTTTTTTCAAAAACCCAAGAGAATGTAAAAGTAAATTTTTTTTACAATCCTAGAGTTCCAAACAATTTTTATGAAGAAATCAATGGAGCGTGGAAAATGTATCAAATTGATCACAAAAAGAAATTCAGGCAACACCTGAGTTGTTTTTCCGCTCTTATTGCTAAACAAACAACAATGATAGAACAACTAAAACAGCTTTGCATACAAATATGCTTAACCGTTGATTGGGAAAAAGATTTTTCGTTATCTCAAATTAATTGGTTTTTACAGCTAGCATAACTAATTGAGTATGATTTTCCAAGCAATATTTTTTAGAAAATCAAACGAATTTGTCTTCTTGAAAAAGTAAGGGACTTATTCACTCATGATATTTTTAAAATTATCTTCAGAAAAACAGAAGATCATTTTTCTACAATACAACAATTTTATATTGACAATCATAAAGAAATAAACCATTTTGACATGATTTACATTGGGAAAACCATTCCCAAGTTATCTCTCTTTATTATTTCTAGATTTTATTGGTCAATGGAATAAATTGATTAGGGAGTACTAACAAGGTTACCTTCTCATCTCATGACTCATCCTCCTAGAATTCCTTCCAGCCATGATCAAATCCATGATCTACAAGACAACATCACACTCCTTCCAGCCATGATCAGATCCATGATCTACAAGACAACATCACATTGGAAATTCAGCCGCCTCATGACTTTCTGGATTTCAAGTTCCATTGGATGGTGAGAAAAAAAAAAAAAAAATTCCAGCCATATCAGATCTGGTTTCTCAAAACCACAGAGGATAAAGAATTTGAACATAACCCATTGTTGAATTCATATCAAATAACAGAAAAGATTAATCCAATCACTCTGGCTATCAATAGTATGCTGAGTCTCAAGGATAAAGCTCTCACAGTGATTTAAGATAATATGAATGATCCACCTCTTTTCAAAATCTGTGATGGAAGAAGACATTGAACAAACAGACATTGATTGGCTTGAACATTTCGCTCAAAATCCATCAAGCACTCCACCATTAGATGAATATGAACTACATAATCTCATCAACGCAATGGAGGGATGACATCTTTTTACTGTACAACTGCACAACAACCCAGCATACGACAAGAAGATATGTCAGATCTACTATTCATAAACAGTGAAAAGTAGAGACAAGATACTATTCATGAACAGTAAAAACAGATTCGATCTTATTTGAACATCATTCATGAATAGTAAAAAACACTTTTTACTATTCACCAAATAGTAAAAGTCAATTTTATTTTTCTATCTAAGGGGATGCTTTGTAATTAGAAGAGCATCTGAAGTTTCTTATTACTCTCTCTCCCTCTTGTAATATCTCTCAGTTTTTATATTTTTCGCTTTCTTTTGTAATTGGTATCAGAGCCTCTCTTACGAGCTTGGACTAGTCTTGTAAGTTTGTCTTCTATTTATTTCACAGTTTTTCTACTTCAGTATCTTTTATTGTGCTTGTCAACTATTATAAATCGTATATACTTGATTTCTGTTCTAAGCCCATATCTTCTTTGTTTGACTATAGTCTGTGATACGTTTAGGCTTGTTAAGGAAACCCAGTTTTTCGGCACCTAAACAGTATTAAGAGGTCTTACGAACCATTGACAGTTCACATATGACACATGACAGAAATACTTCAGTAGACTGTATATGTAATATAGTAGGAAAAAACCAAAATCTACATTCACATATCACTCACTTAGAAACTTTAGAACAGCTCAATCTAAACCAGATTGGTGTTGGAATAAATTTCTTAATTGATATGGTCAACGACTAGAATAACAAGTTCCAGAATAACTTACATACATCAAGCACTCAAATAGAGTCATCTCTTGATTGTATGCAAGAAGCTGTGGTGCTTCTTAATGAGAAGTTAGATATGCTAACTCAACTCATAGATCTGGCGATAACATGGATACGAAGAATAAAATCAACAAGATGATTCTTGATTTAGAAAAACTAAAAAAAATCAAAATTATCTAATCTTTATCAGCGTGATCCAGAACCACCAGATCCATCCAAGAAAGTAGATAAACAATCTACTTCTACTTCCATTTTAAAGGTAAAAAGCCATTATTATTGAACTGAAAATATTTGTGTACTTCATGATAAATCATCAAGAAGTTACAACAAAGATGAGTATGACAACATCATAAAAATTTTAGATTGTTTAAGACAGCTGTATGTTAAACCTCATTTATCTACTGATGAGAGAAATCATATTATCAATCAGATTCGAGATACTTTTTTACAATATGAAGATCTCCTTACTAACTTCAGATATCAAATAAATATATCTGAAGATGAATCAGATGAACAAATCAATGTTCTTACTGATCAATCAGGCTCTGAAGAATTCAATGATTCTTCAGACCAATCTGAATCTGTGGATGAAGAAATTCACGCTAAATCACAGCCTGAAGAAGCTTCATCTAGTAAAAAAGAGAATTAGACACTGTTTTAGATGAATCTTTTTATGAAAATTTTCTAGAAAGAGAAACTGTTCTCCCCTGCTACAAAAGTAGAGAATCCGGACAAACCAAGTCCATCCTATACAAGAAAAGACGATTTAAACAAAAATCCGATTGACCAAAATGGCACCTATCTTGATCTTACACATATATATACCGTATAAAGATCATTTAAAAACTATTTGATGAGTGGGCACAATCACTTGCGCGCCATCCTTGTCAATAATTATAAAGCCACTTGGGGAAAAGATCGCTTTTTTGACTACATAACAACAACCCTTCAAGGTGATGTGCTAGGATGGTTAAGACAGTGGGATCAATCTTCCAAAGGAAAAGAGCAAAAAAACTGCCCTTTTATCTAATTTTAATGACTTCGAAGGAATACTTCGTGAGTTTGCTAAAATTCTGAAGGAAGAATTATGCAGTAATTCAGGAGAAACCCTGGTGACTGATGACCCAAATTTCACATTGTTAAAAATTGAATTATGTGATTTTTGTCCCTTTGATGAGTATGTTGAGCTTTTCATAAAGTACTTTCTCCTCCTACCAGTTACTAGCACAGAACACTCGTTAGGATAAAATAGCCACAAAAGGTAACCCAGACTTTTTAATTCGAATCAGAAAAGATGACAATCTTGGTTTTCAAATCAATTATGTTTACAGAGCCAAGAGGCAAGTTAAGAATCAAATCAGTAACATTACCTATGGACAAAAGTGTTGTGATAAGATTCTAAAAGAAAATTGGAAAATAGGTTGTGGGCCAAGCCGACCTGACCAATAGAAATCCTTTCGTAAAAAACGATTTAGATGGAAGAAATGGAAGTCAGGTAAAAAGTTGTCCTAAAAATCCACTCCCAAAAAGAAATGTTGCAAATGTTACATCTTCAACGAAGATGGACATAACACACCCAATTGCCCAAAAAAGGGTAAAGGAACATCTAAGATGATAAAAAATATTGAATCAGAAGATCTTTGTGTCATCTATGATGAAGAACTATCTGATTTTGAAAATATTCTCTATGAAATATCCAGTGAATCAGATTTCAGTGATGAAGAAGTTTTCATGCTAAATTTTCTTCTCATCCTGAAGAATCCACTAACATTAAACTAAGTGATGTTATTGGAGAAGAAACCCAGTTTTCGAACGGACAACTCATTCAATTCGCAAAACTCCAAAAGCTAAAATAGAAGATCTTTATAAGACTTCTATGATTTCAAAAACCTTTTCCAAAAGAATTTTTAAACAATTTAGTGGTAATACCAAAGCTGAATGCACTTCTCATGGTATGTCAAATCGATTTCAAAATCTTCAGCAAAGAAAATTTGCTAAATGAAAAGATCAATCTCTCGATGCACGGTATATTCATCTAGGAATGGTTCAAATCAAGATCACATCTTTATTCCGAAAAGGAACTAATCAACCCATTCTTGTTCTTGTTATGGATAACAGACTCCATAACCCTATTGAAGCCTTAATCGGAGGTGTTCAATCTAAATTAGTTAACAATGTTATTTGGTTTAAACTCAAATCAAATTATTTTGTTTCAATTGATGATCCGAATATCGAAAAGGTTCTAAAAGTCAAAATTAAACTTTTGAATCTTCAAATGGATCATGACTCTTTAAGTTTAGGAATTCAGTGGAAAATTCTTTACGAATTAATCGAGGAACCTGAAACTTCAACCCATAAAATTGACTCTAAACTAGTCACTCTCTTTGAATCTCGACCCTTCGAGTCAATGATTGAAGCAAAATTGGTGAGATGGACAAATCTTTAAATCCCAAGAAACTATGTATTTGAAGACATTAATTGTGAAAGAAAAATTGAAGAACCAACTGTTACCACTCTTCAAGCCTTTGGGAAAAATCTCTATTTAAAAAATATAGAGAAACCTCAGTTACAAAAATCAAAGTCAGGGAGACTTGTTCGAGAACCAACTGGTTGGGATAAACTCCTCCCTTCCAGATCATCAAATGTTCAATCTTCTGATTTACCAAGAAGAAGATTCACCAGAGAAGAAAAAGGTAAAATCCCAATCTTTCTTGGTTCAAACTCAAAAGACCATATAAACTCTGCTCAAGTTTTTCATTTCCAAAAAGGAAAAGAAGAAGTTATCTTTGCCCCCTTCACAAGAATACAAAGATTATATGGTTTATAACCTTTGAAATTGAATAGACCATTAACCTAAGTGTCCTCTACGATAATTGCTATATAATGTAACTATTAATAGACATTAAATTAATAACTTGCCGTCCAAATAAGTTCCATTATTTTCCATATTTTCATTAAATTATTTACTTGATAAAATAAGTTACAACAGTTCACATGTAAATAAATCAATGTCTAAACTATAACCAAGGACGGACACAAGGGTGGGCTATGGGTGGGCTGTAGCCCACCCCAAAAATTTTTTTTATTTTTTTTTACTATACTAATATATTAGACCAGCCCAAAAAAAAAAAAAAAAATTTAATAGTACCAGCCCACTCTAAAAACCTAATGAAGCCCAACTTCAACTCAGACACCATAATAAAAGAAAGGCCCAAACCAAGTAACCCCATGATGGGTACCAGAAAAAAAAAAAATAATAATAATAAAAACTTAGGGCAAATCATTTCACACTTTACACTTTACAGCCTCCCACAGTCCCCGCCACCACTGTCCCACGTTTGGCACTTCGGCTCCTTCAGACTTCAGTCCTTCAGATTTTAATTTTTTGGGCAAATCATTTCATATTTCAGGCTTTCCTTTTCAGCCTCCGATGGTCCTACGGCCCTACCCAACAAATTGGAATTACTTTCTTGATTCATCATTCATCACTGTGCACGATCAATTGATGATTTGATATTCAAGGTAACTCAATGACTCATAATTCATTTCTTCAATTATTCCATGTATATATATATATATATATATATATATATATATATATATATATATATATATATATATATATATATTTTATTCCATATTTTTTCTTAACAAAAATACTTAATATAGGGTTTAGTTAATTGGTTGATATTTTTTGATTTAAGTAAATTACTTAAAGTCAACAAATTGAATTGAATCACACAATTTCTAATTGGATCTTCTTTTGCAGAAATTGTTGAAGGCCACCAAATTGGAATTGCTTTCAATCTTTCATCACTTCATAGTTCAGACTCTATAAAGCACAAGTGCAATACAAATTGGATTAATTGATATTTAAGGTAAGTCATTTCTTCAATTATTTAATATATATATATATATATATATATATATATATATATATATATATATATTTATTCCAGATTTTTTCTTAATAAAATTACTTAATATAGGGTTTGGTTAATTGGTTGATATATTTTGATTTAGGTAAATTACTTAAAAATTTAAAATTACTTGTTTTGCAAACTAAAAAGTCTAAAATAGAATTAAACAACATCGTTTATGTTACTTTGGAAAAAGTAGACAAGCAGTGATACTGTGATAAAATGTTAAAAAGTAGAAACTACACGAGCAGTGATATAATGTTAGACTGGTCTTAGCATGGTATTGGTTGATATATTTTGATTTAGGTATTTTTTATCTAACTCATTCTTTAATTTTATTAGGTTAAATAATAATGGCTCAATATCAACCTCTAAATAAGAAAGTGAAAAGTATGTCTAGTCTCTCATTCTATCAAAAGAGAGGCCAAATGAGTGATGATGGTCAATCGAAAAAGGATATACCTAGTGGTAGTGCATCTAACGTTGACAATGATAAATTGAAAAATGATATACCTAGTGATCTTGATTTGCAACCTCCTGCCCTACCTCAAGTTGTTAAATCCAATCAACTTCACTTCACTTCTATTGAAAGAGATCCTGGATCCGTATTCAAATACATGAATACCCGGTAAATCAAATGGATGAGGTTAGACGAGCTTACATCAATTTGGGGCCTTATCAACCTAAACTTTCCAATTATCCTAACTCTTCAGATGGAAAGCAGAATCGACGATTTAAGTATGAATGGTTCAAGCAATTTCCTTGGCTAGAGTATTCTTGATCACTTCAGCCGTTCCTATACGCCAAAATGATGTAGTGAATGTGCGGTTCAAGAAAAACCTTTTAGGTCAAATTTAAATTTATAAAAACCACTACCAACACTACTACTAACGTAACAAGAGTGAGTAGGGATCGTCCCAAGGGATTGTGAGGATTAAGCAATGTCGTGGAATCGTTATTAGGGCTAATAGGTCGAGTGATCAAACAATTGGTTGGTTGGTTGATTGAAGAACAACTAAATTAGACTAAGTGATAGCAAAAGAATGCAATTAAGAGTAAGTAAGAGAGAGAGATCTTGGGGTTTAGAGATCACCACCAAGCAATGCATTTCTATATCTTTGACAAGTGATTCATGAGGGCAAATGGTGTGTTGCATTATTGGGGTGTGTGTGTGTTTGGTTGATTCAACAAGCAAGGATGACTAGTTAAGCATATATTGTCTAAACATCATGTGAAAGGCACAATATATCTAAGCAATGAAGCACATATTGTCTAAACAACATGTGAAGTCACAATAGATCAAAATAAGTCATTAATCCTTTCATTAAGCTCACAATCCAAATATAACACAAGGATAGAGACATATGCTACTTGCATTCAAAAGCTTGGATCATCAAACAACAAGCATAGATTGTCCTCCCATTTAACACTACATTACAACTACTCTACATCTACATTACTAGCATGAAAATAAACTAGGGAAGAGGCTCAATCCATTAAGGAATAAGTATGAACCATCAAGAGAATCACAAGAGCATTCCTTTAAGCAAAGCACTATGTTTTGACAATCTCCAAATCTATAGCATCAATACACATAGACATGCATCAATTACACAAAATCTAGAGACAAGCACATGAACATCTATTCTAGCATACATAGACATATGGATAGAATGAAATGATCAATTGGAAGCATTAAACTACATAAATCATTGAATAACAAGATCTTAGTATATCAAAGAGTCAAAACATTAATTACAACACTAATCCCTCAATGATACACAAGATTAAGATATAGAAAGCATGTTTGGGGCTAACTCTAGCCCCAAGAGGATGTCTAGCCACTCATGGTGATGATGCTCCAACCCTCAAAGGCTGGTTGAAATCTGCTCCATGTTGATGAAGAACTCCAATGGTGTCTCTAACCTCCTCTCCTCTAAACTTCCACTCTAAGAGATGATATGAAAATAATGTTGGCTCCTTGTAAAAAGCAATCCTTATCCTTATATAGGTAGGTCAAAATGACACCCAAAATGAGCTGGGGTAGTCACACAATATTCCCTAATGATTGGATAAATGACAACTTTCAATGAGATGGAAATTTAACTTTTTCGCACTGGAGGAAGTTCGATCGATCGAACCTTGGTCTTGGATCGATCGAACTGGCTGAGATCTATTGAACTTAGGCTGGATCGATCCAATTGGCTGAGCTTTTTGGAAAAGAGACAAATCCGAGATATTTTGGGAGATATTTATGGGAAAAGGACAAAAGTGGTCAGTGGGTGGTACAGCTGTGGATCGGATCAATCATTTGAATAAAGACAAAAGTGTTCGATCGATCGAAGGATGGTGTTGGATCGATCGAACTTTGGACTTCATGCTTTTGGTCAAGGTTTGGATCTATCTTGAAGTGCTGAGATCGATCATTGTTCGATCGATCGAACCTAGAACTTGGATTGATCGAACTTTGCTGCTTTCCATCTTTGGCTTCATTTGCTTCCTTCTTCCTCCACTTTGCTCCTTTCTTTGTTTAATCCCAGAATTGCTTCAATTAAGTTCTTATTTGGCTGAGTTAGCTTATTTTTGGGGATAACTGCCTGAAAATGGAAATAATACGAAATCAATCTAAAACGGTAAAGTAAGATAGATAAAGGTACTAGAATGCCTAAACTTAAGGGGTTTAAATACGCACTTTTTAGCGCTCATCAATTCTTCTTCAAAAAGTATATTGTTTTCCATGTTTTCTTTTTGAAAATACGGTGGCGAGTCGTTCTTCACTTGTAGTTGGTGGATTTAGCGGTTGGAAGAGAGTTAATGATGGAAAAAATTGTGTATTCTTGAAACACATGAGACTTCAATCCTCACCACATACAAAATGTGCCATGCTATATGGAAATTTCAAGAAATCGGCACAACATATTGATAAAATGTTGAATGCCCAATCAAGAGAGGAGGTTTTGAAGAATCGAATGTGGCTTAAAGCAACTATTGAAATTGTTCGCTTTCTAGCATTGCAAGGAATTGGTTTTAGAGGCCATGATGAAAGTTCAAGTTCATTGAATCGAGGGAATTTTATTGAAGTGTTAAAGTGCAAAGCGGAAGGAAATGATGAACTTTCAAGTGTCATCTTAGACAATGCTCCACAAAACGCCCAATACATTGCTCCATCAATTCAAAAAGAGGTTCTTCATATTCTTGCAAATAGAGTGAGAAAAATGATTTGTGATGAAATTGCAGGAGGTAAATATTGTATTCTTGTTGATGAAGCACAAGATGAGTCTAATACAGAGCAATTGGCTCTTGTTTTAAGATATGTCAAGCATGATGGCTTACTAATGGAACGTTTTTTTGCCATTGAGGGCGTTGAAAACACATCAGTAGTTACGCTTAAGGATGCAATATGTGTTACTCTTGGTCGGTTCGATCTTTCAATTCAAAATTTGAGAGTTCAAGGGTACGATGGTGCTAGTAATATGCGCGGTGAATGGAATGGACTACAAGCATTATTTCTTAAAGATTGCCCATTTGCTTATTATGTCCACTGTTTTGCTCATCGATTACAACTAGCATTAGTTGCAGCAGCAAAAGATGAGATGAATATTTGGCAATTCTTCTCTCACCTAACTTGTATTGTCAATCTTGTTGCTTCCTCTCCTAAGCGTCTTGCTGAATTAAAATCTTTTCAAAGGGATGAGATTGCATGTATGTTGAGCACAGGTGAACGTGAATATGATAAAGGGGCTAATCAGATTGGCACCTTGCATCGAGCTAGAGCTACTCGTTGGAGCTCACATTATGATTCTGTGAAGGATTTGATTGATATGTATAATGCATCCTGCAGAGTTGTTGAAAGTCTTAGAAATGGTAGACAAAGTCAACAAATACGTGGGTAAGCTTCAGGTGTTTACAAGGTAATGAGAAACTTTGAATTCATATCTATTTTACACCTAATGGATAACATTATGGGATTCATTGACACACTTTGTCAAGCCTTGCAATGCAAATCTCAAGACATTCTGAATGCTTTGAAATTGTCTCATCAACTAAAAATCTCCTTAAAAAATTCAGAGAAGATGATTGGGATATTTTTCTTACCAATGTGGTGTCATTTTACAATCGACGTAACATTGATATACCTTATTTGAGTTCTCGTTATGTATAGGGTACGGGTCGTCATTTTCAGCAACCAGATCATATTACAGTTGAGCACCAATATCACTTTGACATTTTCAACTCTGCAATAGATTTACAGTTGATGGAGTTAGAACATAGATTCAACAATGAAGTAGTGGAACTTCTTACTCTTAGCTCGGCTTTGGATCCTAGTGATTCTTTTAAATCTTTTAATGTGGAAAAGATATGCAATCTTGCTGAGAAATTCTATCCTTGGGACTTCACTGGCCAAGATGTTAAAACATTGAAGTTTCAATTGATGCATTATCAACTTGATGTATCTAGTGATCCCAAGTTTCAGAATATTTCTTCTCTTACTGATTTAAGTCGGGAACTAGTTGTAAGCAAGAAGTTTGAGTACTACGCTTTGGTTGACAGATTGATTCGTCTTGTGTTGACTCTTCCTGTTTCTACAACAACTACGGAGAGAGCATTTTCAGGCATGAAACGTGTTAAAACAGCGATACGTAGCAAGATTGGAGATGAATTTCTTGCTGACTGTATGACCATCAATTTTGAATGGGAGCTTGTTTGGAAAATTGACTTGGAGTCTGTTATTGATGAATTCGAGTCTTTAAAGACTCGTCGAGCACAACTTAGATAGATATTTTGTAATTTTTGAATTTAAATATTTAAATATTTATCTATATTATGTTATAATTTTTTTTTTTTTTTTCTTCTAAAATTTTGTTATTAAATTTATGTTTAATATTAGCCCACCCCAAGAAATCCTGGATCCGCCCTTGACTATAACTATTCTATATTACCATAGCATGTAAATAAAGTTGCCTCCTGTTATATAAAACAATACCACTGCCCATGTATATATTCTAAATTATCATGGCTTGTTAATAAAGATGCCACATGTTATACATATAAAACCATACAATATTCCATTTATACAGTTATATTAACATTGCAGATAAACATGAATAAACACATGCTATAAATAAAACATCACCCCAGCCTATATATATATGCTTAGACAACCATGTGAGCCATTAATTTAGCCAAAACCCAACCAACTCCCACCTATTCTGCTACTGTAATTCACAAAAGGCCCAAAGGAATTATTACTGTTTTGCCACCGCTCTTCGCAAGACCCACAGAAACAGCCGACTTCTTCAAGGAGCTTTCAGCATCTACCTGGGCTGTTCCTTCCTCTTCAATCCCCAGCCATGCCACTCCTCCAAGACTCCATAGCGAAGGTCCTAAGGGTTTTAACTATGGCCTACAGGCCTAGCATGTCCCAATAGTCCACAACAAGTCCAGGTAATAAGTTTTTTTTAATTTTTAATTTTATTTTTTAATTTTTATTTTTCGAAATCGACACATCATTGAATGCTTTAAAAATCAGAAAATACATAACTATTCATATATATATATATACATTTATATATATATTGTTTCTTCACTGTTATCATCTATTCTTAGCATGAATAAAACCAATCTAATCTTTAATTAATTCCCTAAATTGTTCTAGATATGAATCGGATTTGGAAATCAAAAAGGACCTCTTTTCCCTTGGCGCCGTCGGCTTTTGGGTTGCGATGCCCCTGCTGGTCCTACTTCACGCCCACAAGTCACCTCCTACCGCTGCCCCTTGGTCCGGCTTAATAACATCTCTTCTTCTCTTTCTTTCTCCCTCCTCTCTGTTTTTTTTTTTTTCTCTATTATGTTTTTTCTTTTTAATACCCATGTTCTATACATATAATATATTAACCAACCTCTTTTCTTGTTTTTAGTTGGTATTCATACACGGTTGTGATAATTTGAAATCTTAACTTTTTTAAAAAAAGTAAGAGCCTAATATTGATAGGCCAGTGACCCGTTGATATATTAACTACCCTAATTCTAATATAACCCAATGATTAACAGACCCGATCAATTTAACAACAAAACAAAACACTACTAATATTATAATTTAATAATAAATTTTAAATAATATTAATAAAGACTACATTAACATTACTATGTGCACACATACCTTCACACACACACACACACACACGTATATATCCATATATATATATATATATATATATATATATATATCACATTAATATTTACATATATATATATCACATTAATATAATTTATATATATAGATTTATAATATACTAAACATATATATATATATATATATATATACTCATCTACAACTAACTAAAAATAATAATAATAATAACATCACTGAAAATTTTACAACTACCTAAAGAATTTCTACTAAATAATTAACATTTAAATAACAAATAAATAAACACTAAACAAACAATTCAAATAGCCAAATAAATAAAAAAATAATAAAAATAAACACTAAATAATTAACATTTAAATGACAAACAAATAAAACCCTAAAACAAATGCACAAACAATTCAAATAGGCACGTAGATAAATAAAATAAATAAATAAAAGTCTTGAAAAATTTAGGGGTATTACGGTTGTTTTCCCAGTGGGCAAGGTCGACAGAAAGTATGTTCTAATAAATGGGAGGGGTCATACTTAGTTCATCAAGTTTTAGATGGAGGGGCTTATAGACTGAAATATTTAAGCGGCCGGTTGCATGATTATCCAATCAATGGCAAATACCTTAAGAGGTATGTGCCAACTTTCTTTGAAAGAAAAAATTAGAGTCAACTAGTTCTTGCTGATTTTTTTATTTTATTTTTTTATCATGCCTGGAATTTGCCTAAGTCGGAAACATGAAGAGAATATAACAAAAGAGGCCATTTATTTATTTAAGTGTACAGAGGATTACAACATTGATCACACACACTTAAATAGCTTTGAACAACCGTGGAGGCTTCATGAGAACAAGGGTTCACATCTTTGCAAATTTTGATTTAAAATCGGCCCAAATCACTAAGGACCACCGATTAAAAGCCATGGTCTGTCTTTTTTATTCTTCCAATCTTGGTAAATCTTCACGATGCATGCTCGGAAGCAAGGTATTGAGCTTCGAACTACAATGTGGCAATTTGAGCAGATAAGATGGCCTTTCGGGTTTGTAGTTGTTTGATCTCCTCTTTGAGAATTCTTTCCCTTTCCTCAAGGTTGACAAATTCTTCATTCACACGCTCAAGTGTGGTATCTTGAGACAACAATTGGTTACCAAGAGCATCTCTCCTACGTTTGCTCTCTTCAAATTGGGTAATTGTTTTGTTGGATTGGAAAATGTCATCAGCCAGAGCTGACAGTTAACCTTTAAAGGTAGCTATGGTTGCTTGAAGATCAACTAGGAAATTTTGATATTAGTTGAGTGTGGTTGGGACAGTTGTGAACTCGGTTTCAAACTCTGGAAGATCAGCAACATCTCTTTTGTAACAGCTTTATCGAAGTATTTTTTTGTTTCTTCCATAGATTGCACTGGTAAGCTGGCCGAAGTGACTGGTGTTGTCCCTGATGATACACTTTCCCTTTCTTCAGTTACTGAAGCTACTACATTTTTTAAGAAGTTACTTAAAGCAAAGAGAGAGGGGATTGGAGCTCTTGGTGGAGGAAAGGCAGGAATAAACTGAATTCTTTCATGGGTAATCCACCAAGAGAAGAAAAGTTAAATTTAAAGAAAATAACCATTAGTAAAATGGTTTAAGGTATATACTTAGAATTAAATACCTTAGAAGATCCAGCCATGGTAGATGCAACATTGGCTGGTTAATGGCTTATTAGAGGCAAAGGAGGTTCTGACTGAAGGGCTAGATTATCCCCTTGGGATGAAGCTTTTGCATGAGTGATTTGAGCATCCATGGGTATGCCAACAGGTTCGTGAAAATCTCGAATGGGACTAAAATTTCTAATTGGGTTGTAAACTAAGTCAAGAGGAGGAGATTACTGCAAGAAGGAAACAATATCGGCAATTAGGAAAATTAAGGCTGAAGGTTTTCAAGGTGGAGTGGTCGTTACCTCTTTCACATTAGAAGAGTGTTCAGAAGGGTTATCAACCAAGTCAATCAAGGGATCATCGACCATTTTTTCTATTGGCAGAGGGCTCTCTGGATCTTCCACTACTTCACTTTACTTGCCCTTGTCATATTTAATTCTTTTTAGAGTACCTTGGGCAGTCATTTTCTTTCTTTTCCCCTGAAAACATAACCTTATTAGAGTGGAATTGGGATGGAAGGGATAAGGATCAAGGGATATGAGCCTTACTTTGCTGCTAACTTGCGGAGCATCATGAACTTCATGGACTTTGGCTAATTCAGTTTCTGCAACATGAGAAGGCTGACTGGAAGAGATTTCATCATCTTGAAATTTAGCATTTTCTGGGTCAAGAGGGGCTGATGCTGTATCGCTACTTGTATCTACAAAAAGGTAAGAGAATCAACCCAACATTTAAGGAATATATATGTATATAAGTGAAAACAGAGAAAGTCTTACACCTTTGAGTATACTGGCAGTAGCTTTAGCCTTAGCTTTCCTGTGTTTATTAACCCTGGTCGGTGCTTCTTGTGGCTGAGAAGGGGTAAGTTTTTTGGCTGTTTGTTTTTGCCCTTTTGGTTGCTCTTTTTGATGCATTTTTCTTGGAGCGACAACCCTAGTAATTTTAAAAGCTCTTTTAAAGGTTATTGAAACAAACCTAAAGGATTCTAAGATCTTCTTCACAAAGGACTTGCTATCAGCTGTCCTGGTGGAAGCGATATAAGAAGACCACCATTGGTCAAAACTTGGATCAAAAGTTGGGTTCTTTATGAAAGGTTAGAATTTGAAACCAACTTGCAAATTGGTAAATATAGAGGAGATATCATTCACATAAGAATCAACAATGAATTTAACACGCCTATGAAAATATTTGTTAAAATATTGACGAGGAGGCATAGAGATCATTTGGACGAGTCCAAATTGCCTATGAAGCTGACTGGGATTGTAAAATTCAACACCAACTTTGGTGTTTATAGTTCCTAAAGGACCTGTATTGAAATGAAGATCTCTGGCAAGTAAAAAACTGTCCACATGGCCGAAAGTTCATTAGAGCTTTTCTTGGTAGACACGCCAGAATGGAGAATCAGCCAACGAAGGGCTTGAGTACAATGGGAAAATGGGAGAAATTAGCTGATGGTTCTATATTCACAGCTAGTATAGAAGAAATTAAAATAGTTTCCAAATGAATGTGATCTGGGCATGGTCGATGCATAACTTACAGAGATAAGTGGGTCATTGGCGATGGTTTTTACCGCAGGACCAAGCTTAGGGAAGTACACCTGTAGCCAGATTTGGAACAACCAAAGAGGTCCGCCATAATGAGCGATGTTGGAGTTTAATGTTGTAAACACCCCTATATAGATGTGAAAGCACTCAAAGAGCCAAAGCAAGGTGTTTTCCCCTAGACAGAGTAACATCCATATCAATTAAATCTTTAGTAACTTGTAAGGCCGGAACACACAACAAGAACTTGTTCTACCATGCCAACAAAAAAACAACATGTTCTGATTCATCAACTGGAAGAGAAGGATCCATAGTGGAAGTTAGGAACTTACCATAAGAGGATTTAGACGTCTTTGTTCCAGTGGTTTTGAAAGGGAAAATAAAAGGGGAATTTTCTTCTACTAGCAGGTAATTTACATCAATTCCAAAGGGTTTAAGGCCTGTTAAATAGCAAACATCTTGAACTATAGGTGTCATCATACCATATTTAAGAAGCAAAGAATTTGTTGTGGTCGACCAGTTGAACACCACAGCTAGAACCAGAGATCGATCTTGAGCAATGTTAGTTTTGCTAAGCTGTATGGCATCATAGATGACACAGCTTTTCCAGGTATCTCCCTTAACGGTTGCAACACGATCAACCCAATTTATCCAAGCATCATTAGGGGTGTGCCATGTTCTAAAATGGAAAAAGGGCAAACTACCATTCTCATGAGGAGGAAAATTCTACAAAAAAAGGTAATACATATGCCGAAGGATAAAAATGGGAAAGGAATGATGAAGCTTTGTCAAGAAAATAGGCCCTAAACCCTTGAAATCAGAAGGGAGGTCGATAAAAGTATTATAGGGGCTCGTTTTTGTAACACAATAAAATAAATATAAATGGTGATATCATACACAAATCTGAGTGATCTAGACAACATAATATAATACGAGGTGGACTGAGAGAGGCGAAAGTACAGGCAAACTAGAGAGAGAGAGAGAGGGTGAAGATGGCAGTGTAAAAGTACACCATTGACTCCCTTTATAAAGGTGTATAGAGAAAGAGTGGGTGTAAGAGAGCATGAGACCTCTTTCTTTCTAAAAGGTTATTTTCTCTTCCCTTTTTGCTCTACCTCCACTTGGTCTTGGAGCACATCCTTATATAGGCCAAGTGAGAGGTTGGGTGATGTCATATGACATCATATGTGGGGCCCATTAATATTATTTTATAATATTAATTAAGATGGGTCTAAAATGCATAGGAGTCAAAATGATATCTCTCTTTATGAGCCAGGTCGAGTGTCAATTCGACAAGTCCTGAACTTCATCCACCAAACCAAAAACCTCCTCGGATCCCAAGTAATCCTAAGTCCAGCTTCCAACTCAGGTCTTCAAGTCTTCGATCTTCTGTTCGACGTATACTGATGTGGTAAGTGTCACGTAACTTAGACCGTTTGACCGTTTGACTTGTGTGCCATCATTTTTGATGTGGCGTTGCTTGTTGACCATTTGACCAAGCTTTGTGAGCCATTGTTGATGATGTGGCATAGTCCGTTGACCGTTTGACCAAGAAATGCGGGCCATCTAAAGTGGGATATATTCGATACCTACATTTAGTCTCCCTGCGCGGGTGAGCTTTATAGAATTTTTAGAAGGTTAGCCGTGCATAAATGACCTAAAATGGTGCTTACACAAGGTTTTGCTTGACTTGGTACGATACCGGGTTTTGGTGACATGGTGCGATACCAAGGTTTGATGACCCGAAGTGATACCAGAGTTTAGTGACTTGGCGAGATAACATTATTTGGTGACCTAGTGCGATACCAGGGCTTGATGACCTGAAGTGATACCAGGGTTTAGTGACCTGGCAAGATAACAGTATTTTGTGACCTGGTGTAATACCAGCGCTTGATGACCCGGCTTAATACCAGGGTTTGGTGACTCGAATGTGAGGCCTTCAAGCTTTAGCGACTTGGATGCAATGTGTAATGTAGGGTTTGATGACCTAGGCGTGATGCCAGAGTTTGGTAACCTGGGCACGATGCCACAGTTTGCTTACTTAAAGGTGAGGCCTTCAAGGTTTAGTGACCTGGATGTGATGCGCAATGCAAGGTTTGATGACCTGGGCGTGATGCTAGGGTTTAGTAACCTGGGCACGATGCCAAGGTTTTGGATACCTGGGGGCGATGCTAGTGTTTGGGTACTTGGGCGCCATGCCAGGGTTTCGGGTACCTAAGCACATTGCTAGGATTTCGGGTACCTGGGCGAGGTGCCAGGGTGCGATGCTATGATTTTGGGTACCTGGGTGCGATACCAGGGTTTTAGGTACCTGGGCGCGCGATGCCAGGGTATGTGTACCTGGGCGCGATGCCAGGGTTTTGGGTACTTTGGCGCGCGATGCCAGGGTTTGGGTACCTGGGCGCGATACCAGGGTTTGGGTACCTAGTGCCAGGGTTTTAGATACTTGGGCGTGATACCAGGGTTTTATGTACCTGGGTGCGATGCCAGAGTTTGGGTATCTGGGCACGATACTAGGGTTTTGTGTACCTGGGCGTGATGCCAAAGTTTGGTTACCTAGGCGCGATGCCAGGGTTTGATGACCTGAGTGCAATGCCAGGGTTTTAATGACTTGGGTGCGATTCCAGGGTTTTGGGTACCTGGGCGCGATGCCAGGGTTTTGGATACCTGGGCGCGATACCAGGGTTTCAGGTACCTGGGCGCGATACAAGGGTTTTGAGTACCTAGGCGCGTTGCCAGGGTTTCGGGTACCTCGGCGTAGTGCTAGGGTTTTGGTACTTGGGCGCGGCGCTAGGGTTTGGGTACCAGGGTGCAGTGCCAGGGTTTTGAGTACCTGGGCGCGATGCCAGGGTTTTAGGTACCTGGGCTCGATGCTAGGGTTTGGGTACCTTGGCGCGATCCCAGGGTTTTGGGTACTTGGGCGCGATGCTAGGGTTTTGGGTACCTGGGCATACGATGCTAAGGTTTGGGTACCTGGGCGCGATATTAGGGTTTGGGTACCTAATGCCAGGGTTTTAGGTACTTAGGCGCTATGCCAGGATTTTGTGTACTTGGGCGCGATGCCAGGGTTTAAGTATTTGGGTACGATGCCAGGGTTTTGGGTACCTGGGTGCGATGCCAGGGTTTGGGTACCTGGTGCCAGCGTTTTAGGTACCTGGGCGTGATGCCAGGGTTTTGTATACCTAGGCGCGATGCCAGGGTTTGGGTACCTGGGTGCGATGCCAGGGTTTTGGGTACCTGAGTGCGATGCCAGGGTTTTGGAACCTAAACGCAATGTAGGGTTTAAGTAGGAATATGCGGGCACGATAGATGGCGAGTGAGTGTTTGCAAGAGCGAGTGCAATAGTTTAAGTGCGTAAAAGTGTGTAAGCCAAGTG